TCGTTCGGTTGGGAGAGACTGACACAGCATCCACTGCTGGTCAATGTTAGCTGCATCAGCTGGCCACCGAATGTTTCCCAAGCTTGGATTGATCGTCAAGATCGATATTCAAATACCCGCTGGGATGCTCGAGACCAACGCTACTATTACTTATGAACATATTCCTCAGTGCAGATGTGATTCTTTCCACATGTGATATTCACTTCACTTTGGAATTACTATGAGATCCAATGGATATTCACTTTGTGAATGATGACTTTCGCTCCGGACATTGGCCTGCTGGCCCCCGGAATTTCTCACCATCCTAGGTCTCACAGTGTCCTTTTGTTTCAATCGTCGATCGTGTATATAGCACAGATTCAGCCTGGAATGCAATTCGCCGGAAATTTTTTGCGATTCGTTCATATGGCTACGGTACAGTAATATTCAGGCCTGTCGAACCAAAGGCCATTTTTACACTAATTCACTGTGCCATGAGTGGAAAGAAATTTGTGTCTAGGCAACATGTACTATGTGTAGATCCTCCGCTGCCATTTGGTTCACAACCATATTGCACAGGCCTGGTGACTTGAAACGACCTTGCGGTCAAACAAGGGTGCTTGCAGTATCTACAGTATCATATCTCTTTCACCATCTACGTGGCCTATGCATTTGAGTTCACCGGAATAGGCTCAGGGACAACCACGGGGTATTCTTCTTTATTGGGGCCACGATTGAGGCCCCGGTAATCACCCAGAGATCCAGACATCCAGACACTCAGAGATCCAGAGATCCAGACAAGAAATCCAGCCGACGTATTTTCCCGCCCCATAAGGGACATATATATATATATATATAGGTGTGTGTGCACATCATTATATTCACATTAAGAATATAGAACGCATATCAACAAAAGCAACACAGAACACACCGCCCCCATGCCAAAAGCAAGCTCCATTCTGGACCAGGCATGGGGTCGGCGGATTTAAAGTATAATATTAAATAAAAGCTACAATCGAATTCCAATTGAAGTATTTAGAAACGAAATCCTGTTCTAAGTCCATTTTTGTCAAGCATTCCATCCCAATTCTAGCTAGAAACCTACTTGGAAACATTCTAATTAAAACGAGAATACTCACTTGTGTGCAACCTGCAGATATCAAACCTCAAAAGCACGAAGACAAGTGCACCACGTCCCACAGTCCCCCAGGCAGCTGGTTGTTTTTTTCAATCCCAGCCCCAAGTATGGGCTCCGACTTTCTCATGAACATCTCTTTTGGCTTCTAGTGCCGCGCGGAATCCGTCCAGCAAATTACATCCTTAACCTGTTGCTTGGTTTGAGGTGCAAACGTCTTGCAAGATCAAGTACCGAACCTGATTTGATCCGAAACCCCTTTCAAAGGTGGTGTTTGGATGTATCCTAACCGAACCTTTTGGATGTATCCCAGGAACAGTCCGGGGATTTGGGGTCCCGAAGCTGCCAAAGCACTCCGCCCTTGGCTCCGCTGGACCGGAGAAACGCCGAGCAGCGCAAAGGAAAGCCGTTCCGCTCCAACTGTGTCGGCGCTGTTTCGGAAGCTCCATGTCGGGATCAAATCTTTGTGCGACCACAAATCTTGCCCTTCATTGGCAACCTCGTTTTCTTTGGGCTCACGAATTGGATCAAAGAAGGGGTTACCTATAGCACCGAGTCACTGACGCCTCTCACTTCATCACTTCAGACTCTCGGAAGAACCGAAAATCAATTGGTTTGTTGCGCTGCTCCGGTCGCAAGAGTCTTGCTCCAGAATTTGGCTGGGAGCGTTTCCGGACTTCGGATAGCCATCCGACAGCCACATGTGGAAACACCCGGGACAGGTTCCTCTCAGATACCCCGAGGGTTTGCTCCCCAGTTTCGTTTGACATGACCAGTAAGATCCAAGCCATCAAGACCAAGCCCGGGGTGAGCTCAGCAGGGTTTCTGTAGGCCGCAGATTACACGCGTCGAGTCAGGCGCGTGAATCTTCTCAATTCTGCCGACAACTTTTCCCTCGCCGTGCAGGTGCGCTCGAAAATGGAATTGCGAAAGCTGCGATGGGCCATCGTGACACCACAGTAGTCCAAGAGCTTGGGGTCCGTCTATCTACCGAGTGTTTTCTGAAAGTATGGATATTATGGAGTCAGAACCAGATCAGACGCTCCTTTCTCAGGGAGTCCAGCGATTCCCCGCTAAGCAGATACTTTTGGTGAGGCTTTGTAACCTTCAGTTTGTTCCCCCACCCAACAGGAAGGGGTTGTTAGGTTTTATGTTGGAATCCGCGTTTTCGATGCTTCTACACCACGCCTTCACCCAGTATCCCGCCAGAGCAGCTCGCCAGTGGATCCCGCCGAGTATCCCCCCTCCGCCAGAGGCCAGAGCTGCTGGTGAGTGGATCCGTGGATCCCGCCGAGTATCCCGCCACTGCAGCTCGCCAGTGTATCCCGCCGAGTATCCCGCCCGTGAATCCTGCCGAGTATCCCGCCAGAGCGGCTCGCCAGTGGATCCGGCCGAGTATCCCGCCAGAGCGGCTTGTCAGTGGATCCTCGCCAAGTACCCACCACCAGAACAGCCCGCCAGTGGATCCCGCCGAGTATCCCGCTGAGTATGTCAGAGTCGCTCCGCACTGGATCCCGCCGAATCCCGCCGAGCATCCCGCTGAGTATCCGGAGTAGCTCGCCAGTAATTCCCGCCGAGTATTCCGTATCCCGCTGAGCTAGTATCCCGCTGAGTATCCTTTCACAGTGGATCCTGCCGAGTGTCCGGCCAGTATCGAGCCGGAGCGCCTCGCCAGCATTCGCCAGTGGATCCCGCCAGTTTCCCGCCAGAGCAGCTTGCAGTCTGGTTTTGCGTAGTGTTTCGCCCGGCACACAGTTGGGTTTACGTTTCATGTTGGCGCCTTCGTGTTTTGAGTGTGCCCTGAGGCTCGGACAGGGTGGTGCTTTTGTGCCGCTTTGGGTTGTGAATAAGCAACTTCGTTTAATCCCCCGTCGGGTTTCTATTTGGAAGGGGCTTGGCTTTTATTAACGGAACCCATGTTTGAGTTCTCGAGATCGGGTCGCAGACAAGTGGAGTTTGACACACACACAGAAAGACAGGTGGATAAGGCTCTCAACGCAAAGCTTGTTGAGCAGTCAGGCCCCAAGCCACTCGAAAACCATGCTTGAATTCACACAACCGTGTTCACGGTCGTAAGCTCGTGAGTGTGGAGGGTGGGGATTGCTTGAAGCGAAGTAGTTTTGTTGGTGGCTCAAGACACCTGTGGCAAAGATGGGCGCAAGCTCGAGAGTTGAGACCAGGTCCCATGGCCCACATCACTTTCTGGTCGTCGAACAGTTCTGGGAATTGACTTGGGCCCCGAAACTAAAGCTCTTGGGAGGTCAGTGCATCGTCTGTACACGCGGAATTCGGATCGTCTGTACACGCGGGACCGGATCGTCTCTGCACGCGGGCCTTTGTTGCCCCGGATCGTTTGTACACGCAGTGCTTACTGCTTTGCACAAGAAGGGACAGGGGCGTTGACAGCTGCATGTTTCCTTGCCTTTCTGTCGTATGAACATAGGAAATGTTGTGTTCCGTTGTCTCCTGTGCGGTTTACCTCTGTCAGCCGCTCTCAATTTTGCTCGGGGTAAAGAATGTGGTGTATATGCATTAAAGGTTTGACAAGTCTCTTGCACTTCGTGTGTAAATCAGGGGGACAGACTTTCGCCCGGCTTCGCTTTCACCCAACCCCCACCCCCACCCCCACCCCCACCCCACCCCCCCTCCCCAATACCCCACCCCATCTGTTACGCGTGAGCGGGTGCGCTTGCTAGGTGGCAGGCATGTGCGCAGTGCTGGGCGGGCGTGTGTGAGCGGGTGTGCCCCACCCCACCCCAACCTCCCCAAAGCCTGACCCCAGCCCAGCCCACCCTGAGCAGGCGCTCATTAAGGCGGCAGGCATGTGTTGCACGTGAGTGGGCGTGCTTATCAGGTGGCAGGCATGCGTGCAGCGCTGGGCGGGCGCGCGTGAGCGGGTGTGCTTATTAGGTGGTAAGCGTGGATGCAGCGCTCGGCGGACGCGCGTGAGCGGGTGTGCCCCACCCCGCCCCGCCCCAGCCCCCACCCCCACCCCACCCTTCCCCAATACCGCACCCCATCTGTTGCACGTGAGCGGGTATGCTTATTAGGTGGCAGGCATGTGCTTACCATTCCCCCGCCTCCCCACCCACCCCCCACCCCTTCGGGCTACTCTTCCGCATGCGTGGAAACAGCGCTGAGCGGGTGCACTTGAGCGGGTGTGCTTACCATTCCCCCCTCCCCCCCACCCCCCCCACAGTGCTGAGCGGGCGCACTTGAGCGGGTGTGCTTACCAATCCCCCCCCCCCCACCCCCCCACCCTGCCAAAAGTGTGTGTGTGTGTACAGATGAGCCAGATGACAGAAACCTTGTGTGCGCAGATGATCCAGAGTGCATGGCGCAATAAGTGAGGAAAGCCTGTGTGTACAGATGATCCAGATTTGTGTGCGCAGATGATCCCCTGCCCCTCTTGGGATGGTTCGGGTTCCGTCCCTCATTTTAGGAGGAAATCGCCTGAAATAGAAAAGTCCCTGGGCAAAAAGGGAACCTCACACACCGGATTAATCCGACGTTATCATCACACAGAAGGTTCCCCTTTTTGAGCACTCTTTCCCAATTCCCCCCACCCCGCCGGTATTGTGACTGTGGCTCCAAGCATTCCTGGTAGAGGCACAACGCAGGGATTTCCAGCAAAGTGTTCTTGAGCCATGGGTGAATGAACCCAGGAACAAGGGATCCGTACCAGATTCATTTGGGTTGTCAGAAGATGGATGACCCCCTTCAAACTGTGTGGTTTCCCTTTGTGTCCTTTTCCGAACGGGTACCCTCAAAGCAGACGCGCCCGCATACATCCACTGAAGTTTGCCCTCCCAAACAGGCGCCATGTGTTTCTTTATTTTCGCCCACGGCCGCGGGAGTGGCTTAACATGTTTGCCAAAAAACGGAACGTGTCGGCAGTCCAGTCCAGGCCGTCCACATCACGCCGCAATGGAGCCAAAGGCGGCGCCCAAGGCACCGGAGGCGAAGGCGTCGCTGAAGCCACCTGGCCGATACGGTCTTCGTTGCCCCAGGTTGGCCACGGGTGGTCTGTGTTACGGTTGTCTGGGGTTACGGTTAGGGTCTATGGTTTTAGGGTTAAGGTTTAGGGTTAGGCGGGCCCGGGCAAACCCCAGGAATTGGCCGTATATATATATATATATATATTTATTTATTTATTTATTTATTTATTTATTTTTGTTTACTCATTATATATATATATATATGTTTTGCATGCGTGTGGGTTGTGTTCAAAGGGAAGCCAAAGAAACCGTGGCCAGGGTTGAGGTTCAGCTGCTTTTCTTCGAGACACTCAAAGACTCCCCAGCCTGCGGAAGCGGCTTTCCTTCATCGACGGCTTTCATGTTTTTTTGTTCCACCAATCTGGTTGTTAGATGCGGGGTGTCACATCTGCAGGAAAAAAGCGACCTGTGCGGGGCTGCGCACTTTTTGCGTCGGAAGCGCCTGGTTACCGCACCGTCCGGAGGCTTCCCACGCCGGGCCTCTCGCCGAAAGCCAGCTCGGCGGCTCAGCAAGCCGGCCAGCCGGCGGCTTTTTGTGAGTCTCCTCGGGCGGATCGAAGCCTGAAGCGTTCAACTTGTTGATCAAAGAAGGTGCTTCCTATGGAAAAGAAATCGGATTTGTTATGTGCTTGACTGGAATGAAGGTGCTTGTGTCTGAAAACAAAGGAAGGGGACCGCGGATCTTGTGATGCGATCTGTTGCTTTCTGAGGGTTTTGGCGTCCCCAACTTACTCGCGCCTTTTCCTTAGCTTGTTTAGGGATTTGGCTTCCTCTTGAGGGTGGAAAGAGTCGCTATTTTGGGAAGTCGCCTGCAAACAAAGGGGAGCTGTTGAAGATGTCTTACCAGTCAACGGCAAAACAGGTTGGTCTCCTTTTTGCCCAAGTCCGCTCCTGCCAAAAAAGCAAACTTTTTTACCTCTTGGTCCATGCTCTGAGTTCACCACCCCAGACTTTTGCCACTGAAGTCATTCAGAAAGTCTCAAGTGAGACTTGCCAGGTTTTTGTTCAGACTTTGCATAAGCGCCAAAACTTCACTTCGAAAAACACGAGCCATCGCAAGTTGCCCGGCTTTTGAGGCAGATGGGTTTTTGCAAGGACTCTGCCGAACCCGGCGGCGCGCGAGGCCCGTTGGGCAAGCTGCAAGTCCCTGGCGCGGCCTCGCCCTCGCGCCTCTCCACGTCTTCCACCTCCTCAGCATGGAAAGGCGCGCCCAGGGCGTTTATCTGGGGCACGTGGCTCCGTGCCCGGTGAGGCTATGAGTGCATGGTTCAGGGCATGCACCCTTGTTGGCTTTCCAAGTGATGATGTGGTACCCCTTTTTGGGAAGGTGCCAAACAGAAAACACAAGGAACGCCACTCCTTTTGGGGGGGGTGTGAGACCCACTGCCAGGGGTACCGTACCTGGAAGGGAGCTGGTACCTTGTCATAGTAGAGAATGTTTGGTAGGTCCCCGGGTCTGTTCTGCAAGAGAGTCCAATATGCCAATAGTGGAGGAACTGAGAATGGAAGTCCCTGCTTGTACGAATGTGCAATGTATACCTGCAAGGCGCTCTGCTAGGTCCTTTTTGTAATGGCTGCAGGATGAATGCAACGGTAGATAGGGCCTTGAGCCAAATAGCATGCGTGTGGTGCAGGGTCAATTGCGAAGCAAAGCAACACAAAACAAACACAGTTTCTTTTGACCCTGAACACCAAAATGGTATTCTTGGCTTCATGGCCTTTAGCCGTAGCCATACTTATGCTTGCCGTAGTCATATCGAAAATTAAATCATCCTATTTCTGTCGCGGATGAAATGGCAGAATGGAAAATGCTTTGTACTGATTGGACGAGATACCTAACTGTATCTAAAACGGAAATTGAGAAACACTTTGTACACGCGGGATTGTGTGAAACTATTGATCACTCGCGAGCAGAGTCTTGATGTGCAGGAGGATCAATCGATTGGAATTCGTGGTGTCGTGTTCCGTGTGTATGGTTCTCAGCGTGGATTGTTGTCATAGTATCTCATCGCTTTTGCGAGTACCAACGGTAGCTGCTATCGGATTGGCTTGCATATCCTCCGCCATAATCCTCCCATCCTTGATAGCCGGAGCTCTTCCATCCTTGCTGATAGGATTGGTTCCATGGCTTCCTGTCTCATTCTCCTTCTTCTTGTTCTGATTGTACTCCTTCTTGCGGTGGCAATTCCTTTCTTGATCAGCTGCAAGGCTGCGAATGTAGACCAGCAATGGGGTATGAGAGTCGGAGTCGCATGGTCCAAGCATTAGCATCTCATTGTTGATGTGCTTGTAGCGCTCGGCGGAAGTGACCTTGTAGTCGGAGATGGCCTTGTCAACATCTTCGATCATGGAATCCATCGTATCTTGGTCGAGCTTGGGAACCTCGAATTGACGGAATTCTTGTTGGATGTCAGTCCTTCCCCAGCTGAACACGAAGCTCATCATGCAATCCGGAAACGTTCTGTCAAATCCTGAACCTCTGTCATGTAAAGACGGTGACGAGCAATGGATGTAATTGTGCAAGAGGTCGACATGGTGCAATCCATTCGCTCCGCCAACGGCATGTCTTGTGTTCCATTCCAGAGGTTCTTGAACTTACCCATAATGTAGTTCATAAGGCCGTGCTCAGGATTCTAAACGGATTGTAGCTTACTGAACGTATTTGCGGACGGCGTCGCCTGTGATCGCATCGCAGTGGTACTCAGTGACGAGCGGCATGATGCCTTTCTGTACGTTGTCTTTTGCTGCACCATGGCTGACGTTCGGATGAATATGGAAAACTCCAATGGTGGCAAATGGAAGGTCAGCTCTTGTGACATGGCGGGCGTCGTAGGAGAGAACAGGGTTCTGAGTGGATTTTGGAAATGTTCCACGAGTCTCATTGTTCTGCGACGACAATCTCGCTGTTCTTGCCATGCCATTGTACGGTGGTGCGTGGCGGCAATCTCTGTCCAATATACTTCTCCTGGTTGAGGAACATGGATGTTCCGGTGGATGCCAAACAGTCGGGTGTTGGAGTATCAATTGAAAATCACTAAAATGAAAAGTTCATGCATTGAAAATTCATTGACATATGGATCATGCCCAAGTTCCCCAGTAAGCAAACATGTATTCTGCTTTCCCGACTCCTGCGAACGCGGTTGGATCGGGTCCGTGCTTCGTATTGTGTGCTAGCCATTCAACCCAAAATGCCTTGTTCTGCAACATGGTGCGGAAAGGTGGATGAGCGTCCACATTCGTGAGGTTGCCTGTCAATACTGCCTTGATAGGCTCATCTGCCTTCGCTGAATGTTTGGTCAGCGAATCTGCTAGACAATCCTCGCTTCGCACATGTGCGAGATCGTGCATCTGTCCGCTAGTGCTCTCCTTTCGCAACATTTGGATTAAGTGCATTGTTTCTTTCTGCTCTGGTTGATGTGTTGTGGATGCTGTTGTAACAAGATTGTTAGCATCTGTGCGGATATGGACATCCGCGATTTCGCCTGTAATGTCTGACCAGAGTCCGCGAAGAAATAAGGCTGAGCCGTAACAACGCATTAGTCCGTGCAATTCAGCAACAGTTGTGGACATGGTTGTGGCGGTGATCTTATGCGTCTCATAGTCGACCAGTGAGCCTCTCGAATTCGATGAGCCCTGGCGGAGATCTCTTTGCTCTGCAAGAAAGATAACATGTGCACGTTGGGATGACTTGTCTTCATTATTGCAGTAGGAGGCATCTGGATAGCCCTCAGACTAAGCGGAATGCTTTATGGTTCTGACTGTCTTGTTGATGGCGCGAACGGCCTCAATGGTTGGTGATGATGCCTTGGATGCACACCTGGAGAATTGATAACCAATGTGGAATTGTGTTCGCGATTGTAACCAGTTGATCTGACCTAAGACACTTCTGTAAGCAGTATGCGTTTGAGGAGTGAGTGGTGTATCATCCTTTAGATGCTTGTCAAAGTTGATCTCCTGAAGTTCGTCAATGGCAACGTTCTGGTGGACATTGATGTACTAACTGTGCTTGTCGTCATGCTTCCATTGGATTCGTTGTCCAACGAAAAGGCAATCATTCTTGTCTTCTGAACCGACTTGAAAATCCTTACGAAGTCGTCCCATGATTTCCTTCTCAAACACGTCACCCCCGGTCAAAAGAAGATCATCTACATGAAGAGAAAGCGCTCCATGAATTTGTCGATTCTGGGCGTTGTTACCGGATGAGGCAATCAACTGCTCCTTCAAGATCGAATGTATTGGATGACTTCTTCTCACTGATCGGCGAGAATTTTGGAAGCTGTTTACCGTAGTAAACATATGTACAACGATCTGCTCGCGTTGGCACTAATCCGTATGAACGGAGTGCCGAATCTAGGATGTTCCACCATCTGCGTGGTGCGTCATTCAGCCCATAAGCAGGCTTGACAAATATTGTCCCGATTCTGATCGTATGCTTCGCCTTGAAGGAATGCTGTCTTCAGATCCATGTGAAATATATTCCAGCCCTTGTTTGCGGCTGCTTGGATTGCAAGGCGGAAGCCACTCCTGAATGCAGCAGGACTGTCTGTCTGCTGATCGTTCTTCTGCTTATCTTGCAAACCTCGGAGGACCATCGGGTTTTTGTTTTCAGGAAGTTCCCGTCTTTGCCTCGCTTCAGGGTGAGAACCCAGCGACCGGTGACCCAATTCCTGACCTGAATCTTTCTAGGTCGAACACTTCATTGTCAAGCCAAGATTTCCACTCGAGGTGCTTAGCTTCCAGGAATTGCTTCTGGCAAGCCTTCGTCTCAGTAGCTGTTGCTTCTTTCCGCTTCTTACCGATAAGTGCGGAAGTGGATGAAGCCTTCAAGGATTCTTGCTTGGATGAATACAATACCAAGAGTGCTCGGTCATCATCTGTCATGTTCTTGCAAAGCCGGTCAACATGATCCTTGTCTGTGTACTTCTGATGAGAGAATCCACATCTGTTGGATGGTTTGAAGGTCCCTTTCACTTGTCCAAGAAGGACAGGCTTTCCTTCGATGTCTCTCGGAACCGTGAAGGATCCTGTGTTGGCACAGATCTTCTGATCGGATGTCATGAGTGACCAGTGTGCTTCATCAAGAACAAGGTCGGCTTCCTGATCATCGTACTACCTCGTCCTCTCATAGTCTTCTGATTCATCTTCTTCTCGGTCAGTGTGCTGCAAGGTGCTCTGTGAACTTCCAGTGCCGGATGAAGTTGGGACGTGAGGGAGTAGCTCTTCCTCACTGTCAGGGTGCATCGGCAAGTTGACTGGATTGTTCGGGTTGAAGTTGGATGAAGCTGCAGGTTCGTCCTTGAGAGATGAACCAGGCGAATCTTCGTCGTCTGGATTCTCACCTGGCTTCTTCTTCTTCTTTCCTGTCTTCTGCTTCTTGGATGAACTGCTCTGCACAGGAGGTGCAGTTGTTTCTTCTTCTTGCGCAAGGTTGGGCAGTGCAAGCTCTTCATCATCGTTTTCTGCTTCGGGGTTTGTCAGAATTGCAGGTGGTGATGGCACCACGACAGTCGGAATAATCGGTTGAGATGATGGTGACTGAGACGGCAAAGGAACATCACCCCCCAGCGGCGGATCTCCTGGCGGTGCTGGCGGCATGGGATGATCTGGTCGATCGTTCTGATCAGGCTGATTTGGAGGATCCGGAGGAGGATCTGACATGTTCTTGTCCGGAGGAGTTGGAGGTCTTGGATCAGGCAGGATGGTCCGGTTGATCAGGTGGCTGCTGTGTGTCAGGAGGTCAAGGTGAATTCGTCGGTTCCACTGGATCTACCTCAACGGGCATCGGCTTGATAGCTGGTGCATCTGAGAAAGAGTGATGAACTGATGAGTACATCACCGCATGCCACGTCTTCGGATTGTAGTTCTCCCAATTGCACTTGGATGCTGGCAAGACCCAAATTCTGTTCAGCTCATCTGGTTGCCAGAAGGCTATGACGGCATCGTCCGGAGGTGAGTTGATGGGCATGTTGATGCCAATCGTGTGGACATATGCCGTACATGCATCGCACTGTGTGGATGAGATGCACAATCATGTACTGACATTGCCAGTCAGTCCCCGAAGAATATTGTTTCAGTGTCCTCTGAAACTTCTGAACCGGGTGACCGTTGATGACTAACGGCGGAACATTCTTGTGAGGCCCTGAATTCTAACAGCGGTTCTGCTGCTAGTCATGTTGAACTCCTTGTCGATGGCAGCCATCCCCTGTCGAAGAATATCTACCTGCTTGTCGGTGAACGGCTCAAAGATATCCTCAAGGAGGTACTTCATTGTCAAGCGGTTTCACCTTCAGGTGACGCAGGATGATGTGCGCGAGATCCTGGCAGAACTGGTAAGGATACACCTGTGCCAGTTTACTTCTGCTTCCGTAAGTGCCAGCATTTCCCTCGAGGGGTTGATGCTCATGTTTCACTGAGCAAGTGAAGTTTGTACACTTTCCAAAAATCGGTCTCATTACCTCGGGAGGTAAGCAGTGCATCAAGCTTGTTGGCTTGAGACATCTGAGTCCGGATTCAGGATCTTTCAGTCCGTATGCACAGAAGTGGAAATCTCCCCAAGTCACGGATGGATCTGAAAAGAGCTGCGTCATGCAGTGCAAGTTCCAGATCCTGGATGTTTGGGGATTTTCAATGATGAAGTATCTTCTGTGCTTCAGCTGATATCGCGCAATGGATGCCACGAACTCAATCATGGGCATGTAGCGCTGTCGTTTTTCCCAATCTTTCTGTTGGTCTTTTTGGATGTTCTGCATGTTTGACCACGGTCCACAGACTGGCGCCATGAGAATGAGATCAGTCGCTTGCTCCTTGATGATTTCCATGACCATGTGTCGTCCCTTGGATGTCATTACGTCAAATCCGCTGCGAATGTCAACTGAATTCCCAACCTTCAGACCGGAGAGTGCGCAGCATTGACTGAATCTGGCACTCCCTGCAAAGATCTCGAGAACGTGGATCTTTTTCTTGTGTACACAGTTCCAATGTGCTCCCTCAGGGATGGATGTCATATCTTCCACAAACATGTTCTCCGCAGATCTCGATGCTGCAGGCTGAGGAGTTGATTTTCCAGCAATGCGTAATGGTCGTGAGGATGCTGGCTTCGGAGTTGGAATGGATGATCTCTTCTCCTTGGAATCAGTGGAAGAACCTCCTTGTTCTTTCTGCAAGGATTCCTTCTCATCAGGCAATAAGAAATCAATTCCAGGTTTCCCCGAAGGGATGGTCTGACCTTCGTCATGTTGACCTTGATGAGTCTTGATCCGAGATCAAGTCCAACCATTGCTCCTTCTAAGGAAATGACTTTTCCTTTTAGCTATATTCCTCTTTTGCTTCCATCGGAACGAACATGGGATTTGTCTTCCTGCCAGTAAAATACCTTGTCCTTCACCTGTAGAGGTTTGGAGCTCATCCTGAAGTTCTGAGCAAGGTCTCTCCGGATGATCTCGGATTGACGAGCCTCTTGGAATGCCTGCTTGGACAGCTGCTTAATCTGGATTGCTGTAAGCTCTTCCTCATTCCGGTCGATCGTCAATTGAGTCGGTGTCGCGACATCAAGTTGGATGAGATCTGCAGGTCTTCGTCCGAATGCGAGCTCCAGAGGTGTTACACCCCCGTAGGTGACAGTTTGATTTCTGACAGTTGCTGCTGCCTTCAAAAGTTGTCGGTAGGTCACTTTCTTCAGTGTCGCAGGTGCGTTGCCCGACTTGATCGAGTTGAGCATGATCTTCAGCTGCGCCTTCAATAATCGAACTGCTGCTTCAGCTTGATTTGGCCATGGTGTATTTGGTCCCAAGGATATCAGTGTAATGTCGAGGGGCTGATAGAAATGTTCCCATGTCTCCGCCATGAAGGCTTGATCACCGACAACTGATTTTGTCTGCAGGTGGTACTGGTCAAAGTAGTTCCTGAGGACAGTGATGTTCTCGGCTTCTTGCGTAGTTGTCACTGCCTCGTCGTTGCTTCATCCAGGAGGAACCTGACAGTGATCAATGAATGTCATGTCTGCGAATGTGGCCGCTCAAAGTCCACTCGTCTTGCTTCTTGAAGGTGCATGTTTTGCTGCTTGGCAATCTTCGCAGTCACTTCGGATCTTGCCAAACATATCGTAGATTGATTTTGGTAAGTGAAGCGCACAAGTCCTGAGTCGAAATTGGTTGGTAGTCATATGATGATGCTGAAGATGGAGCTTTTTCAGCTCTTCTGGTTTGGACAATCGCTGATGAGTTCTGCCTAAGGCCAGTGAAAGTGAAGTAGGTTCTTCTTTGGATGGCGTTGCAGGATCTGGCTCAATAGTCGACTGGCCCTTCTTGTCGATGATCCTGTCTGCTGCCGATCCTGAACCGGATTCTTTGTCTTTCAGCGAGTCTTACCCGTCCACAGGTTGATCAATGGTTTGTTCGCCTGGGATGTAAGTCTCCAGTTGTCTTCAAGGATTTCTGGGGATCCGCCCCGTTGTGCGCTCTCGGCTGATGTTGTCAGGATTAACCGGACACTCCTTTGTTCCCGTCAGTGTGAACAGTGCCTTGCGAGGCGTGATGTGCACACGGATGAGCTGCTTGTTCTTCTTGTCGAGTATCCAGTGATCCTGCTTGAGAGAACCAATTTTTTTGGGAGTTCCTTGGATGCACAGACTTGTTCACTCACTGAGTGTTCCCTCGAGGGGAATTGGATGCTGTCATCATCATCGTAAACATAGTTGGTGAGGCCTTTGATGGCGATCTGCTCATGGGATTTCACTCTTGCTACTCCAGCAAGATCGACGAGTGCATGTCCTGCGCCGGATACCGGAACTGCTTGACGATTCATGCCAAAAGCCTTACACGTGATCTTGTCACATTGAGGTGTATGCTCGATGGTCATGTACAGGTTCCGCATCTGACCACTGCTCAGGAGTCAGGAGGATCGGCACAGTTCCTTGTTCAAGGATGTCGATGTTGGTGCTTGAGGCGCAAGATCCAGTTACCTTGGCTGTTTCTCCATTTACAAAAGTGAACTTGGTCTCGGCCGGGATGTACAAGTAGGAGATGAGGTTCTTCATAGGTTCGATGGCCTAGGTAAAGCGCTGGATTGCATGCCAGCTGCCCATGGATCTGGTACATCCAGTGTCCAGGATCGCGTAGGTCGGATTGTGCTGCGGGTTGATGACAAGCGCCGTCAGCTTTGTTTGTTTTGCTGTCGCCGTCCTTGACTGTTCAAAAACTGCATCAGCTTGGGTCAGCTTCTTATGGATGGCGTCCTTCTCATGCTGCTCATATGCGTCATGGAATGCCACCATCGCTTGCGCGGTGCTGGATGACTCATGGGATGAGTACCAGCCGTGTTCACTCCAATTTCAGGATCCCAATCCTGATTTGTCCAACCGGCATATTTCGATTTTCCTTGCTTTCCCCCTTCTTTCCTTTGCCTTTCCCCAATATGCCTGGTCGTAGGGATCCTGGTTTTCGCTGGCCATATTGGCCTTCCCGCCAGAGCTACTTTTTCGAAAGGGTTTGAAGCCACCTCGTTGGTGACTGCCCGTTTTGCTTATCGATTTTCCTTTTCCTTTTCTCTTCTTGCATCTGAAATTCCGCCCAGACACCTTTCTCGCAATAAACGCATCGTTCTCCTCCAATGCCCAAAATGTCTCCTCATCGTTGGTGGACATGAAACCTTCTTGTCCTTCTTCGTCTTCCACCCAAAAGCCTTCTTCTCCTTCGTATTCTCCTTGTTCGAGAATGTAGAAGGTGTTGCTTCGGTTTCCTCCGGATGGCCGGATGGACGGATCTTGGGTGGATGTTCTGGTCGTGATGAAGAGGTCGTGGTACTGCGTTTTCATCATCTCGTAGGTATAGTTCTCAAGCGAGATGTTTCCCAATGACATTGCACTGATCAGTCTTTCTCTTTGCTGATCTGACAAGTCACTTTGATTATGAAAAACTGTGCAATGAGGTTGTCGCTGAGGGGAAATGCGTCGCGTTGCCTTGTCTGCATGCCTGTAAGGTACTGTCTGAGTACTTCTGGATTGTCTGTCTGCGGCAGATCTGGAGGCGGTGCTCGTGCGCCAGCGGCTTGCTGGTGCGCGGCAATTCTTCTTGCGTTGGCCTCTTGGAATGAAGCTATGAACTCTGGTGACTGTGCCGTATGAACTGGCATCAGGTCCATCCAGGCTGCCTTCAATCTCAGCAAGAGGATCTCAAATTTTGATGTAAATATGAGGAACTCGGTGTTCTGCCTCCTATGATTGAAGAAACTGAGGAGTCTGTATAAGTACTGTACACGTTGGTCGACCCTTTCAGGAAGAACTTCTTTAGCGTGTTCTTGAAATAGTTGACTCCTTCGTCAGGATCTTGCAAGAGGTCGTTGTGGAGGACTGCCTTGTACATATGAGCGTCTCCAGCGAGACGGCTCTTGAGGAGTGGTCCTCTCTTGGATGCTTCAATTATTGTGAAGGTCACCCAATCATCTACAAGTTCTTCATATCGAAACCAGCTGCCTCTTCCGTTGTACGATGGCGGCTGCTTGACGGTCATCGACAAGTCGAGCGTCTCTTCACTGTAGCCGGTTGAACGGCCAACACTTGAATAGGCTTCCATGAAGCCGTGTCCATCGGATGACATTGTGTCTGGATCTCTGCGGAAAACCCGCTGCGCTACCACAATTGAGACCCACTGCCAGGGGTACCGTATCCCCGAAGGGAGCTGGTACCTTGTGGTAGTAGAGAATGTGTTGGTAGGTCCCCGGATCTGTTCTGCAAGAGAGTCCAATATGCCAATAGTGGAGGAACTGAGAATGGAAGTCATTGGTTGTATAAATGTGCAATGTATACCTGCAAGGCGCTCTGCTAGGTCCTTTTTGTAATGGCTGCAGGACGCATGCAACGGTACTACAAGATAGGGACTTGAGCCAAATAGCATGCGTGCGGTGCAGGGTCAATTTCGAAGCAAAAGCAACACGGGGGGGGGGGAGCTATTTCGACACTTCCCAAATTTGCATGGTTCAGGCACCCTTTGAGGATGGCTTTTGGAGGTTAGTTAGGGATGTTAGGGTACCTGCGAAGGCTAAACCGCATTAAAACGAAGTTTGCTTTGGTCCGGCTGTTTCTGCACAACCCCCCCGCCCGCCAACAACAAAAAAAACGAAAAAAGTGGTTTTCAGTGGACAAGTGTAAGGCAAGCTATGTTCGGATCGCACCGGAAACCTCTTGAGTTCGGTCCCTCGATTCAGGCGTGCGCGGCTCCATGTTCCTGGGAGGCGGGATGCGCCAGTTGCGATTCGGGACGTACCCTCGTCTCGGTGTGTCTCAAACAAAAGCCGATTCGGACCTAAGACTGGAGGTTGTCTGGAGGATTCCGATCTGTTTTTGTCCTAGGCCAACCGAAAAGGTGGGCGTTGACCGGATTCAGGTAGAGCCTGCTCTGATCCTTTGGGTGGCTGGCGCCACACAATGTTCATTGTCCGGTGACCATGCCTGGTGCACAACCAGGGACAACCGAGAGCATTGGGCAAATTGAAGTGGCCACCCTGCGAATTGTGATGCAACTCGCAAAGCGTGACCTCCTTTCAGAGATTCCTCTCAAATTGCCATGTTGATCTGGGAGTAAATCCATATCGATCCCTGGCCAGTTTTATCATTGCCTGGAGAGCAAGTCCGATGGACCTGATTGGTCAGCCGCATCCCCTGGAATGAGGCGGACTCGAACGCCCAAATTCCGGATTTCGCTGTTTGGCTGATAGCTGTCGCTGCAAAGAACACTGGCCGAAATTCATTGGGGACCCTCAGGAACGCACCGGATTGATGGACCCATGTGGGTGTCTTCTGTTTTAACCACCCCAAGACCCCTTTGCTCACAAGCCCCCCAAATGGAATCCCATAGGGTTGCTCCGAAGACCTTACAGGAGCCCTGGAAAGCTCCATCTCCGTGCGGGAAGTTGAATTCCCTGGGCTGGTCCTCCTTTCGGGGGGGTCCAAGGATCCACATCCCAAAGCCTCCTGGTCGCTACGACGGAAAAACATCTCATAGCATCTTGAGATGTTCCCCCAACTCAAGTCGCATCCATTTCTCAGCGGGCACTCCAAAGGATCCCCCGTGAGGCCAAAAAATCGGTCGCCACCAGCCCATAGGATCCAACCCCTCGTGCCCCCCCCCACACACCCGCCGGACGGTTCGAAACGGTTCGAGGCCTGGGCCGCAGCAACTTCTTCACGGAGAAGCAGGCGCTGGTCATCAGCTTCGGCCAGGCCTATACCAAGGTGGGCCTGGCGGGCGCCCCTCGCCCGCTCTGGCGGCGAACTCGCCCATGTTTTTATGTCTCTCAAGAGGTGGTATTGGGCCAACCAGAAATGGAACCACGGGCGGCCCCGCTCCCACATGTTCAAAGGGTTGTTAGTGAAACATTGTCAACCATTTATTGTTGGAGGATTTCTGTTTGTTTTGGGGTGGCCCTTGCTTTTATAAAAATGAATTCGGCTAAGGCTATTGAACCAGAGGGTGATTGAACACTTGGCGTTTCATTCCTGCGATTTTATTTTTCGCATGGCTGGTCTCTGGTGTGACCAAATCGCCCTGGAGGCCAAAACTGGAAGCACATCTAGGTCCCCCAGTAGTCCTCTTTTACTTTTTTTTTTGGGGGGGGAGGGTTCCCCTACTAAATTACAGAAAAAAAGGGTACCCTTATTCTAACCTTTCTACTGGAGGACCTGGACACGGGTGTTCCATTCAGCCTACGGTCCAACGACCTGTTTGCTCGTTGGGGGGGGCTTGGAGCAGCCCGGTAGAACTGCCCTCCCCCCACGTGACAAGTAGAAACCCGCGTGATCTGTTCTTTTTGGGGGGGTATCCCAATGTTTTGCTTTGTGTTAAAGGATGGATGGTCCACACTGAGCACTCTGAGGAGAGCCGGCCCCGTGCCATCTTCCGCACCCCGGAGCTCCGCGGCCGCGAAAGGAAGGACAGCGAGGCGGACGCTGAGGTCACCCTGCCAGTGCCGCAAGAGGAATGGGTACAGGCCCGACGGCCCGACGGCCCGAACTCGGGACCTCCGGTTTGAATGGTTATTGGTGGGGAACAGCTTCGTGGTTTGTTTGTGTATACATTTGCATTTCCTGAAGGCGTAGGCTCCCTTTGTGTTCCAGAGCTTACCAAGGTTCCCCTGTAAAAACCAAGGAGCGATTACCATTTTGGACGAGTTGTCCAAACCAACAAGAGGAGCTGTCCTTTCAACAAATAAATCACCCCTGACTCTGAAGGATGAAAGGAAGAACCCACAAATGTCACTTCAGTGTCCCTTTGGTTTTCCTTTAGAATAACAACCCGAAAAGGGGTACTCTCAAGAAAAGACGCACAGACATGCCAAGTGACCATGCTGCATCGCAGAAAGGTGTTTGCTGTTGTTTTCAGAATAACCTTTTCAATCCTGTGTTGCAAGAATGGTGCCCTTGTGTTGCAAGAAGCTGGCGCATCCCCTAAACCAGATGTTACAGCAAGAGTGGGCTTACCGCAAGCTTTCTACCCCTAATTTCCAAACCCGCCCAACAGCATTTATCAACACACCGCCCAAAATCCACATAAACGCTTAAACATGTTTCCAAAAATCAATCCACTCACCAAATGTTTCAAGTTATTCATTTTTCAAGAATAACTTAAACCATTTCAATTATCCTCAACCTCATTCTTTTTTAAATTATCAATATGCTTCTTTGTTTTTTCATGCCTCGCCTTATGTTTCAATCTAACCTCGCAATCACAAACAGAACACAAACATATTTTCATGCCGTGTTCTTTGTTTATCTCTCGTATCTCTTCCTTATGATTATCTCTCCATGTTTGCGAATATATTTTCATTTTTTCTCTACACGCATCGCAAGTTTTATGATTTTCTGAAAATAATTCTATCTTCCTATTCATCTTACAATGTGTGCAATATTGTTTTTCTCCTTCTTCTATTTCCTTCTGTTGCTTATCCATCGCTTTTATCAGTCTTCTTCTTTGGTCTTTCTTTTTTTGCTTTTCCCGGCATCTATCGCAAGTTTTACAGTTATCTGTAAATGAATTTCTATTCTTATAACATCCACACCCTGAACAGTATTTCCCTTCCATAATCTCTTACAACAATAAGCAATCTACCCTTTAAACAGTTTTAGGCACGAAGCTCTGCCGAGTTCGTGAGGTTTCACGACATAATCCATAACGAGGTTGGGGTAAGCCCCCTGTCCCGAAAAAACACCAAACAACAAACCAAACCAAAAACCAAACAACCGACCATACAATAGACGTTTACACATCTTTATGATACAAAACAGACATCCCTATGTCCCAAAACAGACATCCCTATGATACAAAACCATCATCCATATGATACAAAACCATCATCCATATGATACAAAACCATCATCCCTACGATGCAAAACCATCATCCATATGAGGTAAAACCCAAACTCGTTTTCCTTAATCCGTCAAACTCACCAAGATTTCACAAATCAATTCAGCAGGTATTTTATATAAATCTTCCTGTTTGTGGATTACATAATTATCACCCCAGTCGGCTTTGCTTTTTTGTGGCAGGCGTTGCGCAGTTTCAATATGTTGATTATTAACAACTTTACCACAGTCTTTTTTACATAATGGTCTCGCTTTCCAGTTTGTTAGATTGTTCCACAACCTAGTTCTCTTACGATAATTAAATCCATATTTACAATAGTCAATGTCATTAAACCTTAACCCATTCATAAAAGACTGACTTTTCAATAATCCAGTCTGTGGATTTTCAATGACAAAATACGGAAAACCGAAATAATCAATTATCTCTAATGTTTTTAATACAATACTATTAGCATATTCAATGTTTCTTATTCCTGTTGTTTTTGCTTTGCTGTATTCTGTGCAAGGTGGTGATGCCCAAATAAATTGAAAATGATTTCTGTCAAATTGTTTATAATCCCATTGCAAAATATCACAATTAATATCAGCATTTTTCAAATCCAAAGATATTACATTAAACCCGAGAGACCTTGCAATAGTTCCAACACTACCTGTCCCACTAAATAATTCTAATAAATTCATATTATTAGAATGATTTAGATATTTATTATATTAATTCGTATTTTCCTTCTTCGTTCTTAAACAGTTTATAATATTCAATAGTTTCTGGTTTTGGGGACTTAATCTTGTTTTTGTTAAGCATATCCATATATTGTTTCTGCTTATCTTCAAACGAACCTGCAGGACGTCCGATTGATTTTTTCTTAAAGATTTCATCCATATCTTCTTTACTTTTATTATCAGCGGGTTTAGTATTCAACTTCTCATCAATAGTCTTAACAAGTTCGGACAATGCTTTAACATTCTTACTAATAATTATAATCTTTTTCATTAAATCATTAATTGTACAACTTTCATTTTCTGACATTTCTACATATAAATATTTAGATATTTAATTATTTATTTATGCGTTTGAAGTAGTGTTAAATCTACTCTTTATATACTAATTTATGTCTCTATTAAAACTAACATTAATTAAATGTTCATTAGTTTCAATCACCATATCACCACCATTTTTTTCTTAATATTCAAATCTGTATCTGATTTTTTATAAGAAAACATACAAGGAATACAACTAACTTTAACGCCACCTTTTTTATCTACTGTCAATTCATTCTTAAAATTCATAACGTGATTGCATTTATCACACTTTATAGATTTACTTTCGCCCATTGATTTAACACTTTCTGATGTTTCTTTCCGTGCTTCAATATCTGGCATTGGTCTTTCTTTGCTTTTACTATTTTTCTTTCTTCCCATTTATATTAATATTTACATTTTTATTTTTGATATATTGTATTCCTAATTTTATTAATTCTAATGAATAATAACAGCATTTTTTAATTTTATTGTCAGTTATTACAACTTGTTCTATTTTCTCAACTTCATCTATTATATCAATATAATCTGAATAACTTCTATCCATATTAAATAATAAGATAAATTATTCTAATTAATCTTATTATTTTCATGCATAATAGAATATTGGTGGGGCACAGCACTTGGGTTTTCATTGCACACGCGAGCAAGACACAAAACTAATTATCTTCAATGCTTATTGATTGAAGCAATGGACGCATCGGCGATGCCTCGCGAAGCTTCGCGACAGCCTGTTCCATTATGTTATTCACCACCACTCATAACATAATGATGTTCCATTTAATATTAACTATAAATAATTTTCTAAATATCTTTAATATTATTTTATTATGCCTGATGTAAAACCAATTGATGAAATCAAATATGACTTTAAGCAAAGTAAGCACGATGTCGTCCCTAAATTACCGATGAGAGCGATGATTGTAGGTCCGTCAGGTTCTGGCAAATCAACTTTACTTGTATCAATGATACTTGATATTTATAGAGGAGCATTTGAAAGAATTTTTATCTGGTCTCCATCAGTAAATTTGGATAGTATTTGGTTGCCTGTTAAAAAATACATTAAAGAAGGTTTGAAAGTAGATAATGATAAAGAACCGTGTTGGTGGGATGAGTTCAATGTTGAAAATTTAGAAAGAGTTATAGAAACTCAAAATAAAATAATTGAATACCAGAAAAAACAAGGAATGAAGAAGTTATTTAATATATTAGTTATATTGGATGATGTATCTGATAATCCAGCAATAACAAGAAATAACAAATTGTTAAATTCTTTATTCTGTAGGGGACGTCATAGTGGAATATCAACGCTTGTCAGTCTTCAGAAATCATCAACTGTCCCACCAATTATTAGAGTAAATATAAGTCATTTGTTTTATTATAAAGTTAGAAACTTCAAAGAGATAGAAATATTACAAGATGAATTATCAGCAATTGTTAGAAGTGATAATTTGTTAGAAAGCAAGAAACTAATTTATAAAATATATGAGACCGCCACTGATGAACCGCATAGTTTTTTATATATTAACCTTTTAGAAAAGAACCCTGATAAAATGTTTATGAAACGCTTTAATCAATATTTGAAAATAACTAATCAATAACATTTTTTTTTGTTTAATGTTATTAATTTAAATTAATGAAGCGTTGCAAAACTGTAAATTTGGTAATTTATATATTAGTTTGTCTGATTTTTCTTTTTCTAATTTTTCTATTCTTGATACACATTCTTGAATAGATTTAATTATTAAAGTATCCGCTCTCGTTTTTTCATCTACTCTTAAATTCTTAATGTCTTCCATACTGTTGTTTTCATCGTTTTTACTTTGACCAATACCCATTATATATTATTATTTAGATTGTTTTTTTTCAATTCCTTAATTTCTTTTTCTAATTTTTCAACTTTATCTATCACTTCCAGTAAAGCTTTATGTAATAATATTGGAACTTTTGTATATTCAATACCTAAATATTCACGTTCGGTATGAACTACATTACTAATTTCTTTCGGAACTGCTTTTAATAAATCATCAGCAATATAACCTATATGGATTGCATCCTTATCGTCTCTATCTTTTCTTTTGAATTTTTTAGGTTTGAATTTCTTAATCATACTAATACAATTACTTTTAAGTAAATCTACATCATATTTTAATCTTGCATCGGAATTATCTATCAGACTTCCATTTATGGTTACTGTCCCAGCGGTAATATCAATAGCATCGCCTGAGGCATCTTGAATATCATTGACAAATAATGTTTTTGTATTAACAACCGTTATATTTTCATTAAAAGTTGATGGTGCATTATTTGTAAAACTTTCAGTATTTACTGTTGTTCCGAAAGTCTTATCAATAGATAATAAAACAGAAGGAGTACTTGAAGCATCTGAAACTCTAAACGCTGTATTTGATGTTCTGAATATTACATCAATTGTAGATAAATTAGTTCCATCATAATAAGTTGATATTTCACTTGTTCCCATTTTAATATCAGTTCCAGTAGTCTTTGAAATATTATCCAAAAATGAAACCGTGGTTAAATCAAATGATTGAATGGTGTTAGTTGCTAAATATGCATTTTGAACTGCTA